CCCCAAAACCCCAAAACCCCAAAACCCCATTATACCAATTGAATAAGGAATTTCAGAGTTGGAAGTATTCATATCGCAGGATATTGTTTTGAATTTATTAAGTAAGCTTTAAGTGAGAAATAAGTGATTCATTAAATAATTTTAAGGATAAGATATGTCAGTGGTAAGATTAGGAATCAATGGATTCGGAAGAATCGGAAGACTCACTGCTAGAGCTGCTCTAGCTAGCAAAGATGCCAAGATTATGGCTATCAACGACCCATTCATGGACTTAGATTACTTGATCTATCTTCTTAAATACGACACTGTTCACGGTATAAATACTATAAGATCATTCTTTTCATATAGGAAGATTCAATGGCGATATTAAGAAGGTTGACGGTGGCATTGAGGTCGATGGTCACAAGATTAGAGTATATCAAGAGAAAGATGCCTCCCTTATTAAGTGGGGAGATGCTGGAGCTGACTACATTGGTGAGTGCAGTGGTGCCTTCACCTCAAGAGAGAAAGCCTCACTCCATCTTAAGGGTGGTGCAAAGAAAGCAATCATCTCAGCCCCCCCAAAGGACGATGTTCCCATGTTTGTTATTGGAGTTAACCATCACGAATACAAGGCTGACTTGCAAGTTGTTTCAAATGCTTCATGCACTACCAATTGTCTAGCCCCAGTTGCTAAAGTTATTAATGACAATTTCGGCATTGCTGAGGGTTTAATGACAACCGTTCATGCCGTCACTATTAACTAATTAACTGTTGATGGCCCATCAAAGGGAGGCAAAGACTGGAGAGCTGGAAGAGCTGCTGGTGCCAACATTATCCCATCAACCACCGGAGCTGCCAAAGCTGTAGGTAAAGTTATTAAGGATCTTAATGGAAAGTTGACTGGTATGGCTTTCAGAGTCCCAACCACTGATGTCTCAGTTGTTGATCTTACCGTCAGACTTAACAAAGATGCTTCTTATGCTGAAATCTGCCAAAAAATCAAGGAAGCCTCTGAGGGATCAATGAAGGGAATCCTCGGATACACTGAGGATGAGGTAGTCTCAGGTGATTTCATTCACTGCCCTCTTTCATCAATCTTCGATGCCAAGGCTGGTATTGCTCTCAGCTCAAGATTCGTTAAGGTTGTCTCCTGGTACGATAACGAATGGGGATACTCCAACAGAATGGTTGACCTTGCTAGACACATGGCTAAGGTTGATGGAAACCTCAAGTGAGAACCAATTCATTCTTTATTCTATTACCTAAGCATTAAATAAGAATCTTCTTTAATTTCGTATCTTAGTATTCTCTCTAAACCCACCCTATAAATTTAATATCTATATTAATCATCCACTTATCTAATCATATCTCTGTCATTAGGGGTTTTGGGGTTTTGGGGTTTTGGGG